CCTCCTCAACCGCTTCGTGCAGCTCCCGGGGCGCCCGCACCTGCCCGGTGAGTGCGGGGCCGCGGGGATGGCGCCGGGGCGGCGAGCGGCCTGTGGCGCCGGCGGGGAGGGGTCGCTCGCCGCCCTCACAGCGGCCTCGGGCACCCCGGTACCGGGTCCGGGGGGGGGGGTCTCCGCCGTGCCCTTCAGTATCCGGGCGTGGCCCGCATGCCGGGAGAGTCCCGCGGCACCGGGAGAGCGGGAGCAGGGGGGTGGGCGCCGCCAGGGTGGGGGGTGGGGAGCCCCCCTCCCCATCCTGGTGGTCGGGGGTACCCGGATGCTGCAGGATGGGGGTCACCCCATTGCAGTGATAGTGTGGGGGGGTCACAGCCCTGGCGAGTGTCACCCCCACCCCCTGCCCGTGGTCCTGGGGGGGGGCATCCTCCCTCCCCCCCAGCTCCTGGGGGACCGAGGAACTGGGGTACCCCCATCCTCGCACTTTGGGGGACCCCCCCGGCCCCACAGCAGGAATCTCCCCATCCCAGCAGCTCTGGGGTGCTGGGACACCCCATAGGCCTTGTGGAGGGAGTCACCCCTATGATGAGGTCCCTGGGGATCCCATAGTTCCAGGATGGGAATTTCCCCCATTGCAGTGGCTCTGGGATATGGGGTGCGCTGGGGTACCCCACAGTCCTGTGAGAAGGGACACCCCCTTATCCTAGTGCCACAGAATGGGCACCCAAACGGCAGCAGGATACGGGGATATCCCTTGGTCGTGGCATGGGGGTCAGCCCCATCCTAGGGGATCTGGGGCAGCCCCCAAGCCTGGGATGTGGGGGAGTTACCCCATCCCTGCCATCTCGGGATAAAAGAGATCCTGGGTATTGTGAGGCCCTTGAGATGGGGAATCAGCCTCATCCTGCAATCCTGTGAGGCCTGGATACCTCCAGGATGCTGCAGGGAGGAGGCCGGGGTGTTCTCCCTGGATGGGCCGTGGCCTCCAGGATAAGCCCAGGGTTCTCCTCTGGAGCAGGCTCCGGAGCAGGGGCTGCCTTTGCATCCCTGGGAAACGCACCGTGCACAGAGAAACAGCAAGGACGCTCTCCTGCCTCCCGTGAGAGCCATCGAGTTGGCTAAATTGCTCCTTAATTTCAGCTTCTGGGTGAATTGCCTTCCTTTTTTTGATAAGGATTTTATTTTAAATTTAATTTTGATTTATTTATATATTCTTTTTGTAATTCAAAGGCTGTTTATCTCTCCCACTTCCCAAATCTTAATCATTTGCAAACATGGCAGCACATCCCCTGACACAATCCCAGCAATCCTACTGATTTTTATTATATTTATTTTATTTATATTTCATTTACATTTATATTACTTTTTATACTTTTTATACTTTTTATACTTTTTATACTTTTTATACTTTTTATACTTTTTATACTTTTTATACTTTTTATACTTTTTATACTT